ATTGCACCCTCCTGTTGAGTGGTATGGTACTGTAGTAATTGCTTTCTTCATCTCCATTGGCCCAATAAGAGAAAACAGTTCTTTATGCTAATAGCCCATAAAAGACACTGAGCTTTTCTCAGCACGAATCCCACATCTGATTATTTTACAGTGCTGTACCAGACAGTAGAGTCATCTGCTCTATAAAAAAAGGACTTTACTGCTGTTATTGCATTTCTACTGGTTTGTTTAGGACAAAATAGCAACATATTTTGATTTCATAAAGTCCAGTACTAACTTCAGCCTTAAAGTTGAGTTGAATTAACGCCTGTCTGACACAGTCTTTACTAAAACTGAGCATGTTTCTCAAAGTTAATCCAGGGATGTTAGAACCTAACAAACTGAAGATAACTATGTATTTTCAAGTCTCTTCCTGATCTCACATGCAAGTTTTTCTGATCTTGAGTTGGTGTCAGATGTTTTTATTAACACAAACTGATGACAGTGGGTCATTTTATTATATGTAGTGCACATCAGAATGACCTCGTTGTGTTCCAAATCCAAACCTTTACTTTAACCTTAAACTTGTTCTTAATGCAAAAATGTATGGATTGACTTTGTGGGGATGTACCGAGTCCCCAAAATGAGACTATGTATTCTCATTTACAGTATGTCTGCACCACTTTCTCACAAACTCACACTCATTTGGAAAATGTGACATACAGTAGTGATATTATGCCAGACAAGCTCATGACACTACACACAAATACAAGTGTCTGTGTTTCTATGTGTTTGTGCCCCAGTTGGATGTTGCTATGACAGCTGTTTGTGACTGAATGAGGCTCTGAGGGAGGGCTGCTTCCTGCTTTGACATCCTAATTATCTATCTATCTATCTATCTATCTATCTATCTATCTATCTATCTATCTATCTATCTATCTATCTATCTTGTAGTGCCCAACCCATCTACTGTATGTGTGTGTGTATTCACCAACGACATGTAGCAAACATACTGATGTCAGTGTGTGTGTGTGTGTGTTGTTGTATGAAGGTTTGACAGTGATGAACGCATATGTGCATGGTAAATGTCCTCACCTATGTGAGTGCATGTCTGTGGATCTGAATATTAAAAACACTGTGTATAGGTCAGTATCTGCACAAACCGTTATTTGAGATCAGATGTGCTATGCTGCATTTCATTCAGCAGACTCATTCAACCACATTTTACAAAAATGTGTGAATACTCTGGAAATTTAACATATTGAGGTTTAAAAACAAGACCAGAGTCATTTTTATGTGAAAGTTACTCAAGCAAGTTGCCTTCTTAGCACCAGTTAACCAGGCCATAGATTTTCCTCAATGGCTCATAGCACACATTATATTACAGCTCTATCACACACATATTATATTGTCAGTATGCATCTTGGGACACAACCCCCCCACTTACATTCCCACTTGCCACTATGCTCCACAGCACAACAAGAGTCTACAGCCCTGCTAGTATCTCTATAAGAGCACATCTAAATGCTAACATGCTATTTATTGTGCTCATTATGACTGTGATGTCATCATCTTAGGGTTTTTTGTCACAAAAATTAGCAAAAAAACACAAAGTGCAGCTGAGACTGATGGGAGTGCCAGCAGTTTGCGATGTACGTATTTGGTCAGATTAAGACGTTCTTCCTGAGTGGGACATGAATGTATGTATCAGATTTCACAGCAGTCTATCCAATAATTGATTAGACTATTAATTAAGCAGAAGGAATGTCAACCTCATCGTGTCAGAAAGTCATAAAACTTAATCAGTTGTGAGCCATGGATGTTTTTACTAAATTTTGTGTACATTCACCAAGAGTTAGAATAATTAGTCCTTCAGTTTGGACCAACTAAGCGATACTGACCCCACTAAATTCCAAAACACTCCTCCTGAATCACCTGATATTAGTGCAGATTGCCACCCACTCTGAAGGGCAAACTGAGTGAAGGGCACACTACCACTGAGAGCGGTCGTGTGTTTGTGTGTCCGTGCCATGAGTGGAGTGACACCATGGCCACCTGCTGAGAGAACAAAAAAAGCCTAGGTGGTGTTAATGCAAAGAGACAAGAAGGAGAGTGGAAGGTGGATGGCAGGATGAGAGAAGGAAAGCAAAGGAACAGGCAAAGGTGTAGAGGACCGAAGACAGGGATAATTAGGGTAGTGTGATATCAGGATAAAGAAGGGAAAGTCAAAGATGTCAGGAAACAAGAGTGGAAGAAAAGGAGAATGAAAGAAAGATCATCATCTATTGATCAATTTGGCACAAAGGGTTGGTTTTCTCTTAGCTCACGCTGAGGGCAAACAGACATGAACCGTGCACAGTATGTTGAAATAGTTAAAAAATAAATTAACAAACATTAAAATAACTGAGTGTACGTCAATTAACAAGACTGTCCTCCGCTAAAAGACAAGTCTAGCAGGTTATTAGAACCAACAGTAATGTGTTATAGTCAGGCAGCCTGTAGTGAGGGAAGGCATTGATAAGGTGAGGTCATTATTATACATCTTACAAGAGCATATATACACAGTATTGGAAGATGGCAGCAAAATATAGCAATGATCACATAGAAAGATACAATTGTGACTTCCCTTTTTCAGGCACAAGGGATTCCATAGACAACCACATGAACAGTATAAGAGACTGCCATTTAAGCACATAATATACCATCCAGAATTTATACATGCACACACACACACACACATAAAGCTGAGGATCTAACTGTTTCCAAGCAGGTCTTTGATGGATGAGTGACTGAACATGTCCTGTATCACATCCTGATAAGAAGAACATCAGTTTAAAAGCAGCAGCTACTTTCCTTTCATCCTCGCTCTCTCTCTCTCTCCTTCTGCATCCCTCCATCCTCCCACTGCTTTGATAATGGTGTGTTACACTAAGCCAGGCAAAATAGAGCAAACCCCAACTCCGAGCAGAGCAGACAGGAGAGAAAGAAACAATGAGGAGAGAGAAGAGGCAAAACACTCAAACACTCCTGTCTCCTCTCTGTTCTCTCTGTCCATTTATCTGAATCCAACCAATCAGTTTGCAGCCTCCCTGTGTGTGTGTGTGTGTGTGTGTGTGTGTGTATGTGTGCTCTTTGCTTGCTTCCTCACTTCTTGATTTACACTTGTGCACCTCACAGTGCGCTGGCATCAGGAGCATGGCAAAGACAGACCTGGCGCCCTGGTGTTGTTCATTCAGCGGAAGGCAATTTATTGTATGTGTGGGGGCAGGAAAGCTGAAGTAAAGGAAGAATGTCACCGTGGCTCGTTTGTCTTCATTCAGAGATTCACACCAGCACAAAATGTTGTTCCAGTTCATTGGAACAGCATGCTCACCCCTGGTGACGGTGTTATTTTCTTTAATTGCCTGGTCAAGAGTTCAATTTAGCTCAACTTTTACCACAAATTAGCTTGACTTCATGATTCTGATAATGCCCCTAATATTAAAAAATATATTTAATCACTTGCAAAGAATTAGATGAGAAACCAGTAGCACTCATAGTATGTCAAATGATTCTTCTACGAACAATTCTGAAAATCAGTAGCCTTCAGCTGCCAGAGATGTAAATGCTTATATCATGAATTTGCATTTCAAGCAGTTTAAATTAAATTATAGCTAAATATAATATACATTTTATTTAGAACATTAGTCCATGGCTGTAAGGTAAAGACACAAAGACACATAGACTTACAGTAAATGCAAAATCTCAATGGCATTCTTATTCTTTGAGTATCTATACCATATATAGTAAAGTACCATGGTATTTTTGACAGTATCCTGGCATGTGTACCACATTACACAGTTCTGCCAAAGTAGAATAATTATGGTACACACTACACACACACACACACACACACACACACACACACACCATTTAATCTATGTTGTACAACAGCTTTGACTCAAACATGACACCAAATGTGTAAAAATGTGACCCTTTTCGACTGCACACTGCAGTACAGTACAGCGGTGACAAAAAAGCTTCATAAATAGTACTTTGCCTCCCTCTAGTAGACTATTTGGGCTGCACAGTAACAGCCCTTGGATCAGCAGTTAGTGAGTTTAGATGTAAAGTAATAATAATAATAATAATAATAATAATGTACACTGTATATTTAAAAATGCATGTTTCTTTCATGGACCTGAATCTCTGTGAGCTCAGTCGTTTTGGAGAGAATGCAATGGAATTTTTAACAAAACTCCAAATCTCCAACAAAAGAACTGGACAAATGAGAGCGATTATTTAATTTTTGTTGGTGTACATTTGTTTTTTCTTTCTGTTTATTTGTACCAACCTCCCTCCTGTCCCCAGAGCCACAGGTGCGCTGTTCTGAACGTGGAATAGAGATGCTGCCTTCAGGTACCGGGTGAAAAATTGGACTATAACTGAGACATGAGAGTGGATACGTCGTTGTATGTCAGCCTTGTTACCTCGCAGGCTAAATGTCTAATGTAGTTTGGCGCAGTGTTGTGATGTGTTTTGGTAACTTCACATGTCATAATTACACCCACTGAAAGTGTTTTACAAAAAATAGAGCTGCAACAATTGATTAATCGATTGACAGAAAATAATCACCGGCCTACTAAATAGGCCAGTTCCGTAATCTGTCCATGTGCTCAATGGTAGAAATACTTAGATTCTTAAGAAAAAACAGCAATATCATAGTGTGGAAAATACTACAGTGCAAATAGATTAACGTCAAACTCCGGTGGAGTTGGGGTGTGTGCGGGGTCACGTGAACACACCATCAAACGGTGAGCGCACGGTGCTGACGAGCCGTTGCTTGTGGAAACAGCTGGTGGTTTCTGTCAGCGAACACGCCGGATTGAAAGCTGTGGCAGGAAGAAAAGTTAAAATTAGGCTCGAAACTTCCCGATTGCGCTTTGCCTCGAGTCTGTGCGGCTGTTCCAGCAGACGCCGGGACATGTCCTCCTGTGGACGGCACTTTATCAGGCGCTCGTTAATTAACGTCCTAGCGTGTTAGCGGGAGTCCGCTGACGCTGCTAACGCCTGCTAGCTAACTTTGTTCTGCCATAGCAACTAGCAGCATACAGACTTTGTGTCAGCTCAGAACGAGGCGATCCCTCCGTGTCAGCATGACGCATGTTCATTACAAATTCTCCTCTAAACTCAGCTACGACACGGTGGTTTTTGACGGCTCCTGCGTCACGCTGAGGGAGCTGAAGGGCGAGATCATGGGCAGAGAGAAGCTCAGAGCCAGGGACTGCGAGCTGCAGATCACAGACGCACAGACCAAACAAGGTGGGTCAAATTAAACACACGAATGGGCTGATTGGAGTGAATGGAGTGTTTATCCTGGTGAACACGTGGTCGAGGTTTGACACCTGTCTGGGGTTCGGGTTGGGTTGCGTCACCCCGTTCAGCTTGACAGAGGTCC